GCGGCGGGCCCGCGGCCGCCCGCGCTACGCCGACGTCTCACGTGTTGCCTCTCGGTACCGTTTCACTGCTGGGACTGGGGCGCATTCCAGTTCTGTAAATAGCCGGACCACAGGACGCGGGAACAAAAAAGCTCTTATTTATGGTAGCGAGGAAGAAAAACACCACCTTAAACACTTTGTAAAATACCCTCCTTATGGATGTGGAGGACAGGGTTGTCCTTTTTTTTTTTTTAATAAAAGAATGCAAGAACGTTATCTACAGGCTGACTTTGTCTGAAGTTTGAGTAATAAAATCTAAAAATGAAGTTTCACGCACACCCAGCCTCTCCCAGCAGCAGGGTCGGAGGACAGCAGCTCCCCGGCTTCACTTCCCCCCGCGTCAGGCCTGTCGTGTTCGTGGTGAGCACTGAAGCAGCTCCAGAGAGGAAGCAGAAGGCGAGGGAGAGCTTCCCCAGCCCCCACCACGCACCTCGCTCCCGCATTTCCTGCACCAGGCTCCCGGGGGGAGGAAGTGCCAAAAGCCCCGGGGAGGGCGGAAGAACAGGGCAGCCGCAGCCAGGTTCAGCGCCGCAGTGTGAATGAGATGTGGTGGAAGACCTCCTTCCTCTTCATCATGGCACGAGAATCACAGAACGGTGGGGGTTGGAAGGGACCTCTGAGGATCCCCCAGTCCAACCCCCCTGCCCAAGAAGGGGCACCCAGAGCAGGCTGCAGAAGACCTTGTCCAGGCGGGTCTGGAATATCTCCAGAGAAGGAGACTCCACGCCGCAGCCTTCGCCCAGCCGGGCAGACCGGGTGACGCCTGCCTGCTCCCGGCTCTCCACCCTCAGAGGGAAGAAGTTCTTCCTCATGTTCAGCTGGAGCTTCCTCTGCTTCAGTTTGTGCCCGTTGCCCCTTGTCCTGTCACTGGGCACCACTGAAAAGAGTCTGGCCCCATCCTCCTGACCCCCACCCTGCAGATATTTAGAGGCATTTCGAAGGTCCCCTCCCAGCCTTCTCTTCTCCAGGCTGAACAAGCCCAGCTCCCTCAGCCTCTCCTCGTAGTAGAGATGCTCCCGTCCCGCTCCTCATCCTCATAGCCCTGCGCTGGACTCTCTCCAGTAGCTCCTCATCTTTCTGGAACTGGGGAGCCCAGAACTGGACCCAGCACTGCAGATGGGGCCTCCCCAGGGCAGAGCAGAGGGGGAGGAGAACCTCCCTCGCCCTGCTGCCCACACTCCTCTTAATGCATCCCATGGGCCTTTTTGGCAGCCAGAGCACGCTGCTCGCTCATGGTCAGCTTGTCATCCCCCAGCACACCCAGGAAGGTGGGTGAGCAGGGCTCACTCCGAAGAGGAGCATCTCTTTGGGCCCTACGGTGGGACAAGAATGTGCAAGAATGTGCAGAAATGGCTTACTACTGCTTTACACAAGTGCTACTTCTGGATGTAGGCACTAGCTGGTGGCCACGGGGATGGAGCAGGATTGTGCCCATGCCCAGCCTGAAGCAGCAACGGGCCTGGTGCTGCGGCACCCCCCCCCCAGCCGAAAGCAGCACCCGGAGCAGCCGGAAGCCCAAGCGAGGAAGCCTGAGCCCAGTTTCTGGTAGGAAACGCTCCACCCCTCTCACGTGTCAACCCTGCGGGCAGAGATCCAAGGGATCTCGGCGGGGAGATGCTGCTCGTACCCCTGCAGTGAATCAGACCAGAGCCCAGGACTGGTTTCCAGAATTTGGCTTTACTTCGCAGTACAGAAATCATTTGGAGCCTTCAGGAGACACGAGGAGCACAGGCTCTGTCATACCGGTACCGCAGTGCCGTTTGGTCCGTCCCAGAAGCCACCAGCCTACAGAAAAATACTTCCACATCTTGCCTGCTCTGTAATTTGTTCTCTCAATTTTATTAAGATTAAAACACAAAGGAGCCTTAGGCACAGCTGTGTCCCAACCGATGTAAACAGTTTTAGAAGCTTAAGTGGAGGTTAAGTTTTGTGCCCAGAACCAAGCCAACATTTGCTGCTACAATAGATGTGGGCTTTGTCCATAATACAACTTGCCACAGAGTTAAGATTGATGGGAGGAGGCTTTAGGGATGCTGTCCACAATGACGGAGTGCTCAGTTTCTATTTTCCTTGATAATCAGGTTTCGCGTGACAACCGTCACATCTACTAGCTCACCAGAAGCACATAATTGTGAAGGATGTTTACAAATGATTAAAAATACAAGGTAAGACACAGCTGTCAATGAGTTATTTCAAATCTGCACCAACTTCTACAGGGGGAAAAAAAAAAAAAAAGAAAAAGAAAATGAAGGTTCCTTCTGCCTTTTGCTTACGAGGTTAGTCGTTAAATCAGTCAGTAATTTGCCAGATTCTGGACAGCAGCCCTACCAGAATGAAATAATTAACACATGATATCCAAAAGGGGAACATTACCAGTGCAGTACTCTTCAATCTCTCAGAGATGGGATTACAAAAGCAGGCCTTACAATATTGAATTTCATACAGTGTTCATTAAGTTCCTTATATATTCATATTAGCCGATTTAAACTTCTCCTAATTAGAGACTCTCATTACTGCTGCTCCTCTTCCCCATAGATATCGTTTTTCTTGCGTTTCATCTCCTCGAAGTCAAACTCCGATCCCATCATCCTCTTATAAATATCTTTGATGTCGTCGCACGTCGTCTCGAAGTGAGTGGTGGCGTCGTAGGTGCGAGAGATGAAGATCTGGGAAGAGAAGCAGCCGCTCAGCGCCGAGCCCCTCTCCCCACCCCCTCGCACACCAGCCCCGTGCTCACTAACCTGGCTTTCGGTTCCCAGGTCGGTCGGCGCGAACAGGTCACTGATGCTAACGAACCTGGGAGGAGGAGAAGAAGCAGCGTCAGAACGGTTTTAGGGCACCGCTGAGCAGCGGCTTCGGTGAACGAGTGTCTTAATTAAAGGGCATCGCCCTGCCCAGCGCATCAGTAGCGAAGGCGCAGAGGAAATTCAGAGTTTTTAGCACCTCTGTGCAGCCAAACGGCCTTCAGATCCCCTCCGCCTTCACGCCTAACGAACCTGGGAGGAGGAGAAGAAGCAGCGTCAGAACGGTTTTAGGGCACCGCTGAGCAGCGGCTTCGGTGAACGAGTGTCTTAATTAAAGGGCATCGCCCTGCCCAGCGCATCAGTAGCGAAGGCGCAGAGGAAATTCAGAGTTTTTAGCACCTCTGTGCAGCCAAACGGCCTTCAGATCCCCTCCGCCTTCACGCCTCGGGCCCGACGGCTCGCAGCGGCGAGGCAAGAAGGGGGGAGAGCGGGCTCCTCGAGCGCTTACTTCTGCTCAATGGGCTCCAAGAGGGCCAAGGCCGGCTTTGTTTTCTT